TGAGGAATGGATAAAAAAGATGTATTTTTATAAAATGGAGTATTGCTCAGCTATAAAGAAAGACAAACTAGAGGCTTTTTATAGGTAAATGGATGCAACTAGAGACCATACTCATTAGTGAAATAAATCAGATTCACATGCATAAACATGATATTTCCTCCCTGCTATAAGAACCTGAAAGGGTAAATAAAATCTGAAAGGTACAATAGGTACAGTGAAAGGGGAAAGAAATGGCTCAAATATGAAGGAGCAACTGGGATGAAGGAGGGGAAAGGAAAAAAAAGAAGAGGGAAAAAAATATATAGATACATATATATATACACACACACAGGATCACTAGGATAATTGTACTACTAATATCTGTTGGTTTAATGAAGGGAACTGGTAATATGTAACTGTTTGATCAATCTTGCCTGCCTATATCTGGTTATATGTGCAACCATTTTGAAGATGACATTATGTAATATAACCACCATGGTTAATATCCTATCATGATGTTTTGAAATTCTGTATCATTTTTATTGTTCTCTATGCAGTTTTGTTTATGTATTTGTTTCTGTTATTTTGGGTGTTTTGCTTTGCTCTTTAAAATGAAAGACAAAATTTATATGTACATACAAGGACAGCTGGGATAGTTGCATTGCTGATTTCTGTGGTTTACTGAAAGGAATAGTCAGTGTGAAATTTTTTCTTTTTTCTTGACCAGCTCTGCATGCTTGAATCTGGTAATCAGAATGACTGATCTGAAAACAACAATATGCAGTATAAGAACCACTGTTGAACTCCTACCATCTTCTATGGTGAAGCTCTGCATCATATCCAGTGTTTTCTTTTATTACTGCTTACTGTCCTTGATAGTTTGATCAATCTTCCATTCTTACAATGGTGAACTGAGCAACTTCATTAATAGTAACAGAATATCATGTACTAATCACTGTTGATTCTTATCATTTTGTTTTGAGATCATGTATTCTTTTTGTTGTTTGGGTTTGTTTTATCTGGTCTTCATTGTTCTTTTGTAATTTTTTTATATTTCAAATAAAAAAACTTTTAAATACAAAATAATAAAATTGGAGGGACATGTGCCCTACTAAGTAAAATTTGTTGTCTTTAGATGAAAAATTGAGATCGGGTGAAAAATTCTGAAAAGAACTATCAGTCTTATAGATAACTTAAATCAGGGGACAGATGTAAGAGCCAGCTGGATAAAATCGCTATTCTGCTCCCTTTAGAGGACTGCTTGGATGTGGCTCTTTCCCCAACCTGACTTTCTGTACGAGTGCTCATAGTTTGATTGTATGTGCTTTCATCTCTTGGAAAAATTGTTTATTTTCACCAAGAGGCTGCCAAACTCCAAGTGCTATGGAGAAGGAATCAATAATAAAAGTTCCAAACTCCTCTGACTGGGACCCACCACACTGACTTGGTAAATGGAGTTCAGAACTGCTAAACCCAACATGACTCCTACCCAAGGCCCAGCAGGTTAGCTCCCTGGAGTAGGGCCCTGAGTGTGGTCTGCCGTACATCGACTCTTCTCAGCTCTGAGGAACTAGATAAAATTATAGATTCTGTTCCCTAACCATAGTTAGGGATAACTCTTCACAGTGGGGAATATTGAGGCAGCTAAGTTAGATAAAAATTAAAATACAGTAAGAGATGGAATGGGCTCTCAAGGAAGTCAATGAAAAATAAAGACATCAGAATTATGGTTGGAGGTACATCTGAACAAGCCAAGGCCTCAAGATTAAGTCATAATGTTTGATTTGCATACTTCCCTAAGGGATAAGCAAAACTAATTCATACCATGCAGTTCATTAAATCCCGATATGCATTAAACATCCGAGTGGGTGACAGGAACACCCAGACCCACCCCATCACAAAATGTTCTTATTTTAGAAGTCATAGAGAAGCCAACGTTAATGACGTCAACTATATACCCTTGCTG